AACTTGGATGTATCATCGGAAGCACGATCCCAAGGAGTGCCCAATCCCTGACTTTGGTTCTCGTATCGTGTCCCGCGATGCTGATGTTCCGACTGAATAGACTGCATGTTTCGTTTCGCTTCGCTCACTGCGCCTCGAACGGCTTTGGCGACTCCCCAGGCCTCTGTTCGGCGCTGAATACCCTCCGATACGTCCTGGAATAGCGCTTCGAGGCTCTTCGGACTGTTTCTTGCGGGTGACCTGGAAGGAGAGCTGACCTCACTCAGATCCCTAGATGCACTTCGCAGGCGAAACTTCCCTTTTGAGGGTTTGGCACTTGGTTGTCCAAGTCCTCTCGACAGATCCGGCGGTCTACCGGAATACTTCGAGATGATGAATAAACCTCTCTCTGGGGTGGGGTTTTGCTCCAGATATATCCCGTCGTAAACAAAGGTCAGCGGTGAATGGGGGTCGGGGGCTGGATAGCGCAGCAAGATACTCAAAGCGCTTGAGGAATCAGCGCTCAGTACTGTCAACTATCAGCACATGAACTCGCAGCACTCATCACCAATCGGGAGTAAGGAGCATCATTGTATCATTTCGCAAGGGGAAGGGATTCTCACGCTGCCAACGGATCCGCAACAGCATTGCAACGCAAACATATTCAATGAGCTCTGGGCGTAGTCCTTCTGCAAAGAGTAGATCCCAGATTTGAAGAACGTCTTGAAAAGCGAATTCGCGCCCGAAGAGAAGACGCATCCAGCGACTTCACATCATATCAGTTTTGCGCTCCCCATTCGAATAGATGCATGACTTACGTCAAAAAGATCTGTGGTAATATCTCTAGTGCCTGCAAGTGATCCGCAAGCTCGAGATCTGCCGTGACCAGGAGTTCATTGTGGAGGCGCTGGCACTGATGCACAATTGGAATAACGTCCAACTGACCATTGGCCGATCGAGTCCTATTGTGCTCATAATACACGCGGACATTCTGCATCACTGAGCAGAACAGCGCAAACGAATCATGCTCCACATAGTTGGCATCGAGAAGTTGAAGCATCGCGTTATCACCCGGTTTCGTTTCCCTGGTATCTTCGAGTGGGTTCGTCTCGATCGCATCCCGGTCCACCACCCACAGAAGAGGCGCCAATATCTCATGCATGCCTTGCCGATAGCCTAGGTCTGGGTTGAGTTTCGCATAAATGAATAGTATATCGATCATCTTCGCTTTGGTGGTGGGCTCCCGGAAGAAGAAGTTCTCCTGTAAACACCGATCCACATCCTGCGAGATATCCGCTCTTGTCTGCTCATCGTTCCGTAGAGTTTGCCATGGGGACTATGTAATCAATATCGTGTCAGTTCACCGCGATCTCAAGGGCCACGACAGTGTAGTGGTAAGTACCTCCACATCATCCGCCAGCGGATCAACGGTCGATTCCAAATCGTCCGGGTGGTCAATATATTTCAGGAAATGGGCCTTCAAGGCGACGTAGGCGCTTCGTGTATCCGAGAGCTTCTGCGGCCACTGTGCCCGATCCAGATCGTCGAAAAGCAGGAAGGCCTACACCCCCAAGGTAAGCGACAGAAATTACAATATAGCAGTAGCAGGCGCATGCCTTCCAACAGATCGATCTCAGCCCATCGTTGCACAGTTTGTCGTCTTGCTCCAATCTAAGGGCGTTCCGAAAGCCGGCGGTGGTGTCATTGTCGCAAAACAGGGTATCCCATCGCTGCCTGACCATTCTTGAGCTGGGAGATCTCCTTCAGAGGGTGGGCATGCGTAAACAATTGGCCATACCTTGTTTCCTCGATTCCCCTCATTTCACCATATGGCTCTTCGCAGATCGGTGTTCACAAAAGCTGCAGATTGACGCGCATCAAAGGCACAAACAAATGCTGGTCCGGCGGTTGAGGTTGCGGGCAGTTGTCCGTAGCCGCGGAGGTTGGACCCGCCAAAGAGGATTTGTTTTTCCTTGGGTGCAACTGCAACATCACTCTCCGTCCCGGCCACGCCGCCCTTATCTATGCGCCAGGTATAGTTCGATCACTACATAGCGTGACAAAAGGCTGACCTGACTACGTGCAGATTATTTCTACTTCGAAGGGACTGTTGTATGGTCTGTTCTATTGATCGCTCTGTTGGCATTTGTCTTTTAGTCCTTTTGGTTTAGTAGTCCATTCCATCTAGTGGCAACTGCATTGCCCCAAGAGCTATTCGGTGAATCAAACCAAAACAATCCTCACACAGCCAGCCATCCATGTCCGCGGACCTGTTTGCAGAATTTGGTGTCAATACCAATTCCAGCCAGCCTGCGAATTCTACGAGTCAGCGACCCGCGAGACATCAATCTTCTTCTCTAGTCCCTGACCTGGACTTCTTTGGCGAGACGTCCTCAACATCATTCTCGAACCAAGCGAGCCAGTCCGCTGCAGCAGGCACCCAATGGCAAAGCTCATCTTGGGACAAGTCATTTGCATCGGGACCGGTACAGCATGATAGTGGTAACGACGTCCTTTTCGATGCCACTCTTGAGACTGCATACGATGAAAGCGATGATTGGGGCGAGTTCGAAACTGCAGATGTGCCTCCACAACGAGCGCCCGTAGAAGAGCCGAAACCCAAAAGCACGCTGTCCACCGTACGCCCGGTCAAGGTGCAAGAGCCCTTCAATCTTCTAGACTCACCCTCGATTCAAAGTGTGCCGTCAGTGTCTGCTAAACAGACCGTTGCCATACGACAGCAAGGCAACGCTCAGAAGATTCGCAAGGAACCGCCGCGTCCGACACCGTCACTGTCCACTGAAGATGACCCTTTCGAAGATTGGGGTGACTTTGTCGACGGGCCACCCACAGCACAGAGTCAGGCACCGGACCGAAAGGCACCAGCTTCGAGGACACAGCATGGATCTGCTTTGAGCAGAACAAATCCATTGCACACTACAACTAGCGCTACGAACTCCGGTTTGAAGTTTGCAGTCCCCAGCTCCACAACTACGGCAGATCAAGTCCGTCCAACCAACATACCACCGCCATCAGTATTGCTGGAGCTGTTCCCTCAGGTGCTCGAGCAACTCCGACATGGGGCCACGGAGGCAAGGAAGAGCATGCAGCACAGAGATAAAGTCGAACGTGCAGCGTGGTCAATTCAGATTACGCTGAGGACTGCCGCTCGAGTGGTTGCGGGCCGTACCTCACGATGGAAAAGAGACAAGATTCTAAGCCAGAGCATGCGCATTGGCCCGGCAGGCAAGCCTGGGGGTATGAAGCTCAGCACGGTTAACAAGAATGAGGATGTCAAAGAGCAACAACAGGCTGTGGATGTGCTCACCATGTGGCGTGACAGGGCGGCACTTTTCAACTCTATCATCCAGGCTTCCGGAAATCGAACAATTCCTATCATTCAGGAGAACGTGCGGGCGATGACGCTTGGTGCCGACCGGGGCGCACTCAAAGCATCACATGCCTGTGCTCTCTGCGGATTAAAACGAGATGAGCGGTTGCCCAAACTCGACGAAAATGTGGAGGATAGCTTCGGCGAGTGGTGGACCGAACACTGGGGTCACACCGACTGCCGGCAGTTCTGGGAAAATAACAAGACTCTACTTGGTCAACGATGAATGTATAAATACGCACGATACTAGGTAGCTGGAAACAGGGCCCGGGGTGGATAATGACCAATGCGATTGGCTGCTCAGCCGCACTAATGGCGTTTGATACTTAGACAGGTCTGTGTGCAAGTTGAAGGTATAGATAGGTAATACATCGCAACTTTCTCCAAGGATAGAGTGCGTGCATGACTACGAATGAAAGGTCGGGCATCCTACCGATCACGTCATGAGACATGGAATGGGGAGTGCGCGTGTCTGCAGTTGCTGTATTGATGTGGAAGACGTGTGCTTCAGAGTTGAAGTAGTATACCTATTTTATGCTATTTGTCCTTATACTAGACGGATGATACTTAGAATTAGAATATGCTTGTGGCGTTGTACAGGTGCTTGTACAGATGGCAAATGTTGACTTATCGTCAGTAACAATAAAGCAAAGCGATAACAATGATAAGCTCAATCCGAAGCGGGGTCATGTATCGATCAGCAAAACGTAGTGTCGGGTGATGAGCCAACCTATTGAGGGAGTCCATTGTACCTGTCATTACTTACGGCTGAGATCATGCCCGAGACGTACTTACGAGTGACTAGTAGGCTTTTACACAAGATGAATCGATCACTGCGTCACGGGGGCTGGTCTCTTCCCAAACTTGGCCAGATGCGGGGGCGTTTCCTCAACTCCGACGGGGAGCAGCTGCCTGAAGTTACTAAGTACAGCGTACAGTAACCAACTAACTTACTAGGTAGACAGTCGGTAGCCTCCACTCCACCTCCCGGCTCATTCATCTCATCTTTGTCCCCCATTCCCCCATTCCCCCATTCCCCCCTTCCCCTCATCCCGTTTGTCCCCTGGCTGCAGGAAGGCAAGAAGTGATCTATCTCTCGACTGACTCTGTTTCAAAATCCACTCTCGTCCACTTGCTCGGATTTCCTGATCAACCAAGTGCCACAACTAAACCATAATTAAGCCCGTTGGTCTGGGCTGCACCTCCGCTTATTCCCGAGGTCCTTTCCACCGCAGCTGCTTATCATCATCACAACCACTCCACGCCCAGACCAGGAGAAACAGTCGTCTCCCTGCAAATTTACCTGAGAATTATCTCCCTTTCGAGTTCTCTTGCCCTAGTCTTCTGACACAGTAGTCGAAAATCCCATCACATCCTCGACCGAGATTAACCTTTGTTTGTGCACGCACGATAAGACAACCAAGCCAACCGTATCTGCATAGGGGGGAAAGGCTAGGACTCAATTCCAAGGCTCAAGACTTACTAACAGAACCATTTGTTCACTTCCCGACTTGCATCTCTGGCTTTATATCCCCTCGAACGTGATTCTGCACCTTTGCAAATCTGTGACACTACAGCACCTAAATAGCACCGGGGGCAGTGTGGGCAGGCAGTCACGGGATACGACACCATGGGTCTCATATACAACGTTTACCTGACCTCCAACAAGATCTTTGGGTGTAAGCAATGCAAAACCCACCTGGCCGACTACGACGACATCATCAGTCGAGTATGTGTGTTCGATCTCTTAGCGTTGCTTTCCATCTCTTTGAGTGCAGCAGCAGCAGCTGACCATCGTCTCTCTTTAAACCTTGCAGAATTTCCGCGGCCAGCATGGCAAGGCATACCTCTTCAACAACGTCGTGAACGTCACCCAGACCGAGGCGGTGGAGCGGAGCATGACCACCGGAAGACATATTGTTCGCGATATCGCCTGTCGACAGTGCAAGGAGACGGTCGGTTGGAAATACGACAAGGCCTACGAGACGAGCGAGAAATACAAGGAGGGGAAATTCATTCTAGAGGAGGAGCTCCTGTGCGTTGTGTGCTGAGGTCTCTTGATCCCAACGGTGGTGGCCACGGAGAGACTCAACCGACATAGCCACATGCACACATGGCCTTGAGATTGTGCATGTCTCTAAAATGGGGCCCCATTGCGCCTCTGTGGGTTGAGAGCTGAAGACTGGTTCGTTCAGTGAGCGATTGTTTATTACTATCTTGGCTATTCTTTGAGCGATATGACGGCGTTCTAATGGAGCAAACAAACACTTTGACTTTGGCTTGGCGGTATTCCAGTTGATTCCCACCCTCGAGGGTTTCGCCCGACACTTATAACAAACAGTTCATGACTCGAATGGATGGTCAAGTGGTGCATGAGCTGGTAGTTTGAATGTGCGGAGCTTGGCTGCTCTTATAGGCTGGTGGCTACGTTATTTTTACCTCCATGTAATGTGGTCTGGAGGTCATAGAATGTCTTCTTTCATTTTCGACGGTCGCATTTTGAGTCATCATGACAAGTTTGGCAGGCATTTCCAGCTCGCCTTGTAGTGTACTACAGCCTGCATGATCTGCACTAGGTTGTTGAGGTTCGAGGACCCGGGGAGATCGCCTCGACATTTTGAGTAGTATATCTACGTCCGCACCCGCCAGAGTATGACCCCAATAATATGCCTACCTCGCATCCACATCTACAGTCTCCCAGTAAAACCCTCCACCTCACCATAAACCTCCGCACACCCTAATCATACACCACAGAGCCAAAACAATTACTTTAATAGCTGGCACCTTCCAGCTCCTCACTCGACATTACCCCTCATGACCATCCCCCCAAAAGTCGTCGATGCCTTACGTACGAAAAAAAATGGACCCACCCAAGCATCATCAAGAGGGGGGAGGGGGAGGGGCAACCCGCGGCCGCATTTACCGCGCCCGCGCCGGCTATCGGAGTGGGTGGGCATTCTTTGGGCACGTTCACGTTAGGGGAAAGGGAAATCTTTTTCCAAGCCCTCTCTTTTTGTTCCTTTTTCTTCTCTATATCATTTCCCAACCCGCGACGCCGGAATCTTTCATTTTGTGTTTGGGGAAGCAGATTGCAACATAGAATTTCAGCATCGAAATCACAAACCTGCCAGAGATGTCCGGCGAACAACAACAGAGCATGCGCGTGGTGGCTTTCCGCGGCCCTTACAAGGTCGCGGTGGAGGAACGGCCGGTACCCCGGATACAGGACGCGAGGGATGTGGTGGTTAAGGTGAAGTATACGGCGCTTTGTGGGAGGTGAGTTTCTTTTTTTTTTTTACTTTCGTGTTTTCCTGGGCTAGAGGCTGGAGGCTGGAGGCTGGTCGGAGGGGAAGGGTATTGTTGATTATGGGTTTAGGCGTGGGGTATAGCTTCATGGATTGGGGTCGTTATGAGAGGATCTCGAGCCTTTACTGATGAGTGCTTTCCTTTAGTGATCTTCATGTGTACCGGGGAATTGAGCCGAGTGGGGAAGGGGTTGTGATGGGACATGAGGTTACCGGAGTGGTTGTTGAGGTTGGGGATGAGGTGCGCTCGGTCAAGAAGGGAGATTCGGTTGTGAGCGCTTTTACCACGTCTTGGTGAGTGATCCTCTTCCATTGGGTGCTGCTAGTGTTGTTCTGGTAGTAGTGGTGGTAGTGGTTTACTGGGGCCAGGGGAGGAGTTGCGGAATGTATTTGAGAGGAGGACGGATGAGTTGGTCTCAAGGAGTGGCTATGGAGCGGGGAACTCGATCTTTATGCTGATTCATGGGTTGGTCAGCGGCAAATGCTGGTACTGCACTCAGGGACACTCTTCGCGTTGTGAGCAGAATGTCCTGCTGGGATGCGATAACCTCGACGGCGCTCAGGCTGAATATGTGAGTAGATTCTGCAGATCTGAGGGCGGAGGGTCAGTTCATCCCCAGCGATGAAGAGGCTGAACTTGTCGGAACAGATCAGAATTCCCAATGCGGATGGCACAGTGGTCAAGGCCCCCGAAGGTGTTGATGACAAGCTTCTGGTGCTTATGGCCGATATTTTCCCTACGGGTTACTTTGCGGCGCGCAATGCGTTCAAGGCATCCACCCCAGAGCAAATTGCAGAGCAGACGGTCGTCCTCATCGGCTGCGGGCCAGTCGGACTTTGTGCTCTGATCAATGCGCTCGAGTACAAGCCTAAGCATCTACTGGCGGTGGACTCGATTCCCGCGCGACTTGAATTAGCAAAGTCGCTCGGAGCCGAGCCCTGGAATTTCCAGACCGACCGGGACGGTCTGGACAAGCGCGTCCAAGAGTTGACGGACGGGCGCGGCGCAGACGCGGTCATCGAGGTCGTGGGCTTGAGTCCGGCATTGAGGACCGGATTCGATCTGCTGCGGCCGTTTGGTACCATCAGCAGTGTTGGCGTTCACAATGGCGAGGTAAGTTTCCCGGTGGTCTTTGTCCTGTCGGTAAAAGCTGACTCGCATCTGTGTGTAGATTCCATGGACTGGTAGTGAGGCTTACGGCAAGAACCTGACGGTCCAAATGGGACGATGCCCTGTGCGTTCGGTTTCCGAGCAAGCCCTGCAAGTTTTGAAGAAGAACCAGCATCTTCTTGGGTACGTGTCGCGTCGTTTGTTCATTCCCAGACCTTGCAGCGGTTTTGGCTGACTAGTATATTTAGGTTTATGGCGGACAAGATCATGCCTCTTTCACAGGCCGTTGAGGCCTATGAGCTCTTCAATGCGATGAAGGTACAGAAGGTCATCTTTGAGGTCGATAAGTAGGCTATCTGCATCGCATTCAATGCACGGAAGATCTGCTGTCAAGAGCTCTCAGACAATCCCTTAGAAAACCGAAGCGATTGACTGTGCACGAGGGGGAGATGTAGTCGTAGTAATCACAGTCCCGAGAGTAGTACAAGTGAAAACGAAAACAAGCAGTGGCACCACCACCACCACCACCACCATCGAGTCGTCTGAGAGACATTTGCAACTCAGCAATTGGGACATGAGGAGAAACAAAAAGATACCTGAAAGTGAGGGAAGATTGAAGAGTGAGGAGAAGGAGGGGAAAGGGAAAGGGAAGGGGAGAATGTGGAGGAAGCGGAGGAGTGATAATGTGAAGGAAGTGAAGCGGGTAGGTGCTAGTTAAAAAGTCACTTTGCCAGTTAGCCAGCCAGCCAGCCAGCGCCGCCTGCCTACCCGCTTTGTGAACATTATTCTCTCTCCAAGCTCTTTCTTTCCTCCTCCTGCCTTTCTGCGCCTCTCTGTCCGTCTGTTTGCTGCTCCCACCTTCTCTTCCTAACTCCCTCCCCTCTTCCTCTTCCTCTTCCTCTTCCTCTTCCTCTTCCTCTTCCTCTTCCTCCTCCTCCTTCTTCCTCTTCTCTTCCTCTTCCACCTTTCCTCTATTCTCGCTACCACCACTTCTTCTCCTCTTCCGTACCGTATCCCCTCCCTCCCGCCTCTTCTCCCTCCTCTCTCTCTCCATCTCCTTCTTCTCCCTCTCCCCTGATTCCTCTATCCCTCTCTTCTTCCTCCTTCCCGCTACCCTCTTTGTTCTTTCGCCCTCCTCTATCCCCCTCCCGTTTCACCCATCCTCCACCTTTTCCCCCGCCCGCCGAAAACCCCTCAGGATCGATCTCGTCACCCCTCTTCACCACACACCCCCCCCCTCCTTCGATTTCTCTTCTTCGGATTATATCCGCTTTATCGCCCGCCTTTATCTTCGTTGATTTTCCAGGTAAGACCACCGGCCGCCTTCGATCCATCGGGCGCAAGGTCGGGTTTTCCTCGCCCGTCACTTCGCTACCTAGTCAGATCGTTACGAAAACCACGGTCATCCCTCCGCTTCTCCTTGGGCAATGTGAAGCTGACTCTATAGGTGAAGTTCTTCTTTCGAGAGCTTATATCCTTCGATCATCACCTTTTCCTCGATTCCTTACTCGACCTTCTACTTTCCTGACATCATGGACGCCTCCGACTTGCACGAGAACCCCATGGTTGATGAGAACATGGCTGACGCCGTTGACATGATGGATGAGGGTGACATTGAAATCATCCCCAAGACTGAAGAGGAATACGCCCAGTCCACGCTGACTCTCCGCGCCATCGTCTCCTCCAAAGAAGCCGGTATCATCATCGGTAAAGCCGGCAAGAATGTTGCTGACCTGCGTGACGAAACCGGTGTGAAGGCTGGTGTGAGCAAGGTTGTTCCTGGAGTTCACGATCGCGTCTTGACCGTCACTGGTCCCCTGCACGGCACTGCTCGGGCCTATGCTTTGGTCGCCAAGGGTCTGCTTGAGGGCGCCCCGCAGATGGGCATGGGAGGCGTCGTGTCCAACAATGGCACCCACCGTAAGTGAACCCCGCGCACTTGAGTTTATCGTTTGGTCTATCAAATGGCTAAAATATCCTTAGCCGTCCGTCTCTTGATCTCCCACAACCAGATGGGTACCATCATTGGACGCCAAGGTCTCAAGATCAAGCACATCCAGGACGCGTCCGGCGTGCGCATGGTTGCGCAGAAGGAAATGCTGCCTCAGTCCACTGAGCGCATCGTTGAGGTCCAGGGCACCCCCGAGGGCATCGAGAAGGCTATTTGGGAAATTGGAAAGTGCCTCATCGACGATTGGCAACGCGGAACCGGCACTATTTTGTATAATCCTGCTGTTCGCTCCTCGGTCGGCGGTACTAGCAGCTCTGCCAGCAACCAGAACACTGGCAATGGTTACAGCAGCCGCCCCTACAATCGCACCGGCAACGGTGCCGACTTCAGCGACCAGTCCGGCAGCTACAGCAGAAGATCCAACCCCGATACCAGCAACCGCGGCTACCCTCTCGTCACCGAAGACGGCGAGGAGATTCAGACCCAGAACATCAGCATTCCCGCCGACATGGTTGGATGCATCATTGGCAGGGGCGGAAGCAAGATCACTGAGATCCGTAGAAGCTCTGGAGCTCGGATCTCTATTGCCAAGGCTCCTCACGATGAGACGGGCGAGCGCATGTTCACCATCATGGGCAGCGCCCAGGCCAACGAGAAGGCTCTCTATCTTTTGTACGAGAACCTCGAGGCCGAGAAGACTCGCCGCAGCCAGCTTCCTCAGGAGTAAAGTCCTATCATCAGACAACCCTTAAGCACAAATCTCGCGCCACATTGCTATCACCCGAATCCTTATGCGCTTCCTCCCAGAGAACATAATCGCGCGATGTCTCCCTCTCGCTTGTGCTAACCACTTTGATTCTTGACGCTGTCTTTTTTTTTTCTCTCATATGGTCCTATTTGTTTTACCTTATAATCTCATATGTGCAGCTTCCTTGGTTTTACAAGAAGCAAGAACGTTGCTAAGGTGGACCATGCATGCCTGTCAGATACCAGTATTATGTGATCCTCCATGATCGCTTTGACTCGAAGAAAGAAGAAATGAATCCGAAATCGGAAGAACTACTGCCGACGTTATGCCCCGCAGCTGATGTTTATGTTCCATCCGTTACATGATAATTTCGTGCCTCTGTGCTTCTATTTGCTTCGTTGCCCTTTCCTCTGGAGGGGACATCAGCATTTTGATCTAATCCCTTCCTCCTGTAACCATCAACATCCTTGCGAATCTCTCTGCTTTCCGCAAAAGTCACCCTTCCTCCCCCCACACCTCCTTAACATAAAACCTACCAAACCTTAACCCCAAACTGTGATGTATCGTCCCTCTTCCCTCATTCGCCCGTTTGCTCCTGCTCACTTTATCTTACTTTGCAACTCTCTCTCTCTCTCTCTCTCTCTCTTTCTCCCTATCATACCCGAGCTTCCATACATCAAGCATTTGGCCACTTGACACCTCCAATGCCTTGTATGGTCATTCCTTCCTGCAACCTATGCTGGGAATTCCCCTTCCGCGCGGCTCAATGGAATCATCCCCAAATCTGTATACCAGGACTTTGAAAGCTCAAATTTTTTGATGGGAAACAGAACAATATGAATCCCCCAATTTTCTCATCCATTGTGTGGATCCACCTTCAAATATCGTATACCGTTATAGTAGAAGTCAATAGCCTGCATTCACCATCGCTTTATTGATGGACTGTGTGCTTGTGTGGTCGATAGATAGATACCCAAGGAAGGCCATTTCACTAGTCATACAAGTGAATAACTACTAGCTACGATACAGTACGTCAAGTGATCAGCTCGCTCTGCAACCGCCGATAGGCATATATACAACGACTCGTAGTAGAGGTGCTAAGATATCATTCCCGATCAAGGTGTCCACACAAGTAATAGGAGCATTTCTCAGACAATCTGCGCAAGCCAACAGTGCAAAAGCCGAGCATGAGATGAAAATCCTCATCATCATCATCATCATCATCATCATCATCACTTCATTGTTAGTTAAGTTACAGAGTAATCCGTATTAACCCCTAGTGCATTATGGACAAGATCTTCTAAAATTTTGTACATGCCCCTAAAAAACAACAACATGCCTGGGCCCTGGGAGGGACCTTGGATACATACAGTACTGTACATTGTATCATGGGATCTGTGATAATGATTGGATGGGGCTGTGAGTGACAGGGGACACAGCATATTGGAATCGGTAAGACTGTAGGAACAATGAGATGGGGTTCAACGAATGGAAAGAAGGGAATCTGATAGCGACGAAAGAAGAAAGGAGAGTGCTGGGCTTGAGATCTCAAGTCCTTTGGTGGGTTGGACCATGGCCAATCCCGGAGGCCGGAAGTGGAAATCTCCGAACTCCCTCCAGGCTCGTCTATGTATGTGCAGTATTGGCCGAGATCATGCAAAGAAATGAACGGCAAGAAGATAATGAGAAAGAAAGAAAGAACGAAAGAAACGAGGGAGCATATAGAGGAAATCGCTCAGACAGATACAAGTAAATTCGTATAATGCATAGTAGATCTCATCGTGCCACGCAAGGCATTTTTGCAATCAGAAAGTTTGCCGGAGATGACCGGTCGAGTCAGTGGGAGTAAGTGCATCGGAAGAAGTCTCTCGTTACATGTGCAAATGCAGGTGGGTAGTACTTCGTACAGACGTCCCCAAGAATGCTCCATGGCGATCCTGGGAGAGTCAAAATCAAAATCATAAGAGAAACGCCGGCTGAACTGAAATCAATCCATGTACCAAGAATGAGGCGCTGCGTGATATGGAGTAGGTGTTTGGGAGGTGTGTATGCATGAACGACGTTAGCTTCTTGAGATGAGAGGTAGAGAAGAAGCAAAAAGAGCCGTGGATGGATTTAATCAATTCGGTCATCGAACGTGTTAATAGCGTCATCTGACACAGCAAGTGACCGCGGTCGAAGCCCAAATTTCCGCGCGCCTAGACTGTTGGTTCGAACTCGGTTTTGGCTGATCGGAGTGTAACTCGTAGCTAATTTGCTCGAGGGTGCAATGATTCGAGTCTGGGAAGCTTCTGGTCGTGGAGATAAGACGCTCTCCTCGATGGATCCATCGCTCGTGTTAGTGGCAGAGCTCAGCCCAGATGCTGCACCGTACCGACGATAACCCGCTTGGATGTTCGAGCGCGCAGTGGCAGGGGTGTAACTTGGAGTCATCAAAGTCCGGCGCAGAGGAATCGCGGACTGTGAGAGGGTAGGCGTCCGAGGCTGAGGCAGTTGCGACGGTTGAGGTTGAAGCGAGAATCTAGGGTTGCGATCCGGCGTTGCAATAGCCTTGGACTGGGACGCAGTATATCCATGAGACATGCGCTGGCGTGGCGATACGCGATAGTTGTTTGCTGCGCTGCTAAGGTCCGCGATACTTCTTGTGGGCGAGCGAACCTGCGGGGTCTGTTCAACAAGGGCCTCATCATCAGTCCGGTGTCGCTTGGTCCGTAACGAAGTCGAAAGTCGACTCAACCGAGTGGGCGCCGGTGAACTGGGTGAGTGGGTCACTTTCGCTTCTGAGACTGGTTCGTTGTTTTGGTCGCCGTGCTGGGACTCCGGGGAAGGAATGGCAGTTGCGACGCTTGATCGACGGGTCTCTAAACGGCTACCTACACGTTTGGTGCTCTGTCGTCGCACTAGCCCATCGGAATCAAGAGTCGTGCTTCGACGAAAAGGCAGCGTCGGGGTCAACGTGTCGTCGTCGTGCGCATGTCTTTCCTCCTCCTCAGCTCTACCATTGACGACTAAGGCCGATTGTCTCCGGTGTTGCTCGTCCGATAAAGCAAGGCACAGCTCGGTTAAACTGCGGCAAACGCTGTCTGCTTTCCGTCTTGCTTGCCTATCAGATGTGCTATACCCATTGACCACGGATCCAGTACCAGATGGGGCCTTGTTGGATCCAAGCAGAGTCGAGAGCGCTAGCGCGTCGGTAGCGGTCACCTCCAAAGCGGCGTAGACTTCATTGCTGAGCACGTCCTTCGCATTGACCAAAGCCGACTGTAGTAGCGGATGGACAGGGCTAGGGCCCTCTGCCTCACCCGAGAAAGTGCTTGTCTTGTGGGAACGCCTGGGTGAAGACGACACCGTAGTCATAGTCGTTGTGGCTGTTCCCGGCCGTTCCCCAGAAGCGGAGGAGATCGCTTCCTGGGACGAGGGCGGCAGCTTCCCGGTCAATTCTAGCTTCTTGATTCGGGACTTGAGATCTTCGAGCTCATCCCAGACCGTGGAAGGCGCAGTTGTAGACAAGGTGGATTCCGTCCCATCTTGACGGGACCGCTCGGACTCGAATCGAGCGCGTTCGGTCACATCCGAGCTGGATGGTTGTCGGCTGCCTCGAATAGACGAAAGGGTCGATTGGCGATAGGCTCGGGACTCGTGCAGCGAACCGCGTCTCTCAGGGTAGGACTCGGGGCTGTAGGATAAGGGTTCGGGACTGAACCGGCCCAGTCGACTTCGTGGTAGACCAATTGCGGACCTGGAACTGGGGACATAGGCCGAGCTGGACGGGCGGCTATGTTCATCCAGTGGATGGGCGGAAGCTGAGTAAGAGTATAGGGCGGCCGTGTGGGGGGTGGACGGAGATTCTTGATGCGGATGCAAGGGGCTATCGTAAGTATTCAAGCGAAGCTGCTCGGGGTGAGGCATCTGTTCCGAAACACGAGAGGTTGATGAACGAAGTCCACTACCAGACATCCTGAATCGCGACTGTAAGTGCCGGGATCCGACGAAAATTAGCTCCAAGATTCCCACAATCACTAAATGAAAAGCACAGCAAAATAGCTCAGAGCCTCCGACTCACCCGTCGAAGCTCTGATCGCCCGAACGAATCGCGACGACCAGAATCCGATCTCGCAATGTTTAGAAAAATATCCTCGTTTTTGGCGCGGGTATCATCTGCGACCGGCGTCTTGTTGCCGTCTCCTGACTGACTGTATCGGTCGAACCCATCGACACCGCGACTGCGCTCGTCAGCCGGCGTTCGCCCCTGAGCATAAACCACCGAGGAGGCGGACATTCTATCGTTCACGTCTGGTATCGACTGCTGATCATAAAGAGAGGATTTTCGACGCTTGGGTGCATTTGGATTCGTCGCGCGAACCGTCGAGGGAGCGTCAAGGGGTGGCGCAGAGTCGGGTTCGTTTTCTACGGCCCGTCGAGGTGATGTTGGTCGATAGCCAAACCCCGCTGGATCGCGAACGTGGGACAAATGGAAGTTGGGGACTGACCGCCGGGGTCTGTCATACAGGATGGTGCGTTGTTGGGGGGTCGGAGTCGGGTCTGGGCCCGGATGCGTGTCGTCGCCGTTCTGGACGGAAGCGTTGGCGGCGCTGGTGTGCGACGATGTCAGAGCTCGTTTGCGAAGAGGATACTTGTATTCAAAGCTGAAACGGCTCTGAGGGGGACGAGGAACAGCGGAGGGAGAAGAGGTATGCGAAGCAGCAGCAAAGGCGGCCGATGAGGAAGAATGGGAGGAAGAAGAGGTGGGTGAAACAATTGTTGAAGTTGTTGTGGTGGTGGTGGTGGTTCGAGGTACAGTGGGACGAGCTGAAGGGGAATAGTAGTCGTTGTTGTCGCAGCTGCCGGCGGCGGGAGTCGCTGTCTTTAGCGCGGTTGCTCTGCCCGCCTCACGGCTTTCGGCCGCCATCATTACACCTACACCTACACCTGTCGGGCGCATTCCTGGTTTCGACCTCGTCACGGACGGACCTTCGCTCTGACGTGGGTTCGATCCGGCACTGAAGGTGATGGTCCTGGCACGATTGACAATGGAACGGCGACAGAGGGACTCATGCGGGTCCTGATGCGGTACATGTACATGGAGATGTGGCTGGTTCACCGCGGATTCGGTCTTTCGTCGTCGACGAGTG